ATGATTTAAAATCTGGCTGTTCAGACCAGGTCATAACTCCAGTTGTCTGCGCATGCACCTCTGCCACTAGCTTGCCACTATTACACATTACTAACTTTGTGTCTCCTCTCTCCCGTAGTGTGTCCTCTCTCTCTCTCCCTGTAACTTTCTGCAGGTTGCCCTGGAGCTCTATATCTCTGACGAGCAGTCACCGGCCACATCGACCTGATCAGTGTTTGATTGTTGTGTCTTGTTGCTTTTCTTCTTTTGTCTCTCCTCTATCCACTCACCCCAACCGGTCGAGGCAGAAGGCCGCCCACCAAGAGCTGGGGTCTGTCGGAGGTTTCTTCCGTTAAAGGGAGTTTTTCCTCCCCACTGTCGCCAAGTGCTTGCTCAAGGGGGATTTGTTGGGTTTTCCCTATGTAATAATATTGATAACAGTAAGGTCTAGACCTTACTTTGTAAAGTGTCCTGAGATGACTTTTGTTGTGATTTGGCGCTTTACAAATAAAATTTGATTTGATTTGATTTACATAACAAAGGTATTTAACATTTGCAGCATTTACACTTAAGTACACTTTTAGACTATAAAAGGAAACTCACCACATTGAGGCACACTGAGGTCGAAGAACTGGAACTTGTTCGGCTGTGATGAATGTCATAGTTCCCACCAAAGTGTCGTCTGATCTCTGCAGAAGAATGCCTGGAACAAAAAATGTCAAACGACAGGTTTGGTGTTCAGAAGGCAGAAGATAATCATTACTACAGCATTATATTACATTTGTGAGCTATTTGAAGGTTAACAGTTGCATAAAAACAAGCAGTGAAAACTTCTACAACCTCATGTACAAAGAAACACATGTGCATTATCTTAATGAGCAATGCAACAGCAATTCCACTATTGTCCCTACTGCCATTAGTTTAAATTGATGCATCCATTCAAACTATTGTTCACTCTCTACAGAAGCACATCTCTGTTAGCTGTGTCAAGGCTTTGTCATGGCAGCCATACAGGCAGTGGAATAAATATGGTGTCCTGAGTTACGGGTCAGACTGAGCAGGAAATCAACATGACATAGGAACAAAGTAGTATTCAAATATGTTGGGTGGAAGGGGTTGGTGTGTTTGCCCGTGGCTCTCTCCAAAAAGAGAATGACAAGAGCAGAGCCACTGTCCCAACTTGTTGCACATTTCATTTCCATGTGATGCAGGGCTAATGCACTCTCTTTCTTTTTAATTAATTTACCCTATCATTGGACCTCAACCAAACTAGAACAATAACCACATTATACTCTGTGGCTCAATGATGAAAGGCCATTTTTATATGTATAAGCATGTGTATGCATTCTTAGTGTGTGAATGAGTACAAGCTTTTCTTTTTGTGTTATGTCAAAATTGCTCATACTTGTATGTATTTTTATGTGTGTGAGTGTCAGAAACGTTTGTTGCGACAGAGGAAAGTTAAATGTCAAAGACTTAAGCAAATGGGTCACATTCCTTTTTGCTTTCCCTCTGGTCAGTCTCATGGGTTCATTAAATCCCCAGGGCCATTGTTACAGTAGCCCTGTTACTAATTACCACCACAACCCCATAAACACCAAAGCAATGGGGGAATCGCAGCATGTCAAAACCAGTAAGGCTGCAGAGTCATGAAGAATCTGTGAGGCAGCTTCATACTTCAGTGGTGGAAAGTAACTGAGTACATTTACTCAAGTACAATTTTGAGGTATCTGTACTTTACTTGAGTATTTTTATTTTCTCCTATTTCATACTTCAAGTTCAGAGTGTAGAAGAAAACACTTACTTTTTACTGCACTAGAATTATTTTATAACTTTAGTTACTTTTCAGAATCAAATTAACCATGCAAAATACAATATAGTCAACTGTATTGATGCCTGGTGGGAAATTCACAAAATACCCAGCAGTACATATAAGCGTACAAGGTAGTTAAAATTAGCTCCACCTTTACAAGCTGCAACATTAAATGTGATGGGCACAATCTTTATAATCCAATAATACGATATACATTAATGTGAAATAGGTTATTCTGCATAGTGAGCACTTCACTCTTGATAATATAAGTATATTTTGATGATAGTAGTTTTGTACTTTTACTTAAGCAACATTTTGAATGCAGGACTTTTATTGGTAAAGTAATTTTACACTGTGGTATTGTTACTTTTTCTTAAGTAAATATTTTGAGTACTTCTTTCACCACTGGTATCGCCAAGTCAGCTCACTTTTCAAGAATCAAAGCTGAATGACATTTCAGGCTCTAATGAAGACCTTCCCCTCCCTCCTGTCAATCACATAGCATACTGAGTCAATACAATAGGCCAAGACATGGGTGGGAGCGAAGTATACACATTTACACAATGGGCAAAGTCCAGCAGCGTAGCACCACTTTATTTAACTTAGCTCACTATCAGAAAAAAAAACATCACAAACTAAGTAAGAACTACAGTTTAACAATTTGAATGAACAATAAGTTAGTATGTATTACAGAAATAAAATAAAAATAATCAGGCAAAACACATACTGATTCCAGAAAGCGCTGTCCCACAAACAGGTTCGCCACATAACATTTACTCTTTTATCACCAGTGACAACATGAATGTTTTGCGCTTCTCACTTGTGTAAAGTCACTCCTAACTACACTGTTTAAAACATATTTTTATCCAGAAACAACACACACACACAAAAAAACCTAAGCAAACAAAAATGAAACAAGAATTGTCTGGTGGGTGTACGGAGCTTGTACCCAAGGCAATTTTGAGGATGTAAAATTTTCTCATACCTTGACTTCTAAGAAAACATACCTCCATGTGTACAAACTGAAACAAGCCCTTATTATTAAGAACATACATTGTGTATAAAGTATAATTTGCACACACACATTCTCACATGCATACACATGTGGGATTGCTTGCTTGCGCACACAGACACACATTTGGGGCCTGTCTATAAAAAGACCAGGCAAGTAAAACAGTAATCAGCTCTTGCCAGCAGAGCCGAGCAGGCATTAATTTTACTACTAGTAGACAAACAGCTTGTCACAGCAGACAACATCTCCTATTCTCTTTAATGGGCCTGCTGCCTTTGTTACATAAAACCAAAGCTGCTCTTGTCAGGAAGACAAAAAGTAGAGCTTTGGATTTTGGGCAAAATAATACCCAAAAGCAGCTTGTGTCACAAGCCTGGCTAAAATTTATGTTTTAGTGGATCTATAGTGTAACAAAGTACCGCACCATGATCACAATTACATCTCAAGATGATGATGACTACACCAGTAATCTGCTGACAGTGCAGCCACTATTATCACAGTTTCATCTTGGTCACGACAACATACATAATGTATGGGTGTCCTAAAAGTCCTTGAAAAATCATGAAGCAGTATCCTAAATCAATACAATACCCTTCAGTTTTACAGTATCTGAGTGGACGTTGTAGGCTGCTTTGATTTCCTTTTATAACTTGATATGTCTGGGTAACCTGATTTCCTACGTGCATGTAAACATTCGGACTGTTGCTAGATAATATGAAGCCTTGAGATCAAGTTAAACCACAGAAAAATTGATGTCAAAATATAAAAAGTACCCCATTTGGGGTGGAACATTTGAACTGCTATTAAGAAAGCATTCTCCTACAGTAGGTGATCACAGCTAGCCTGCTCACAATAATTACCAGTTCCCTTGGTCTTTTATATAATTAGAATAGGTAATCAGCACTGATGAGGATGGCACTGTAAAACAGCTGCTCCCAGGGAGCAGATAGATCCAGAACTACAACTGACAGCTGTAAATCAGGGCTGATGACAGATTACGCACACTGATACAACAAATCGATACTCAGCACATTTTTCTGCACCATTATGTTGTTTGTTCATAAAAAAGCTGAACTATATCATAAACCATGTCATGTTGCAATTACATGTCATAGCACTGATCAGTAGACTCAATCATTAGAGTAGGTACTTTATTGATCCCACAGTGGGGAAATGATCACATTTCTTCTCCTCCAATACCTTCTCCTCTCTCTCCGCTTATTTCTATATGTCCCCATTGCATATCACTAACTTTGTCTCCTCTCGTTCCCTAGTTTGTGCCCCCCGTTATTATGCCCTCTGTGCTAATTAGATATTCCTGTGTATGGAAAGAAAATAAACCTATTCAAAATCTCCTACTCAAAGATGTAGAGAAAGGACAAAGGGGCAATTTGTTTTATCATTAATCACAGTAAAGAAACTTTTGTTAAAGCAGCTTTGTGGCTGACCGCACTATTTCAAGGTTTTACAAGCTGTCAAATATGTTTCTAATCTGTCAGTGATGCCGCCAGGCTTCAAGCTACAGAGAGTCATTTCATGTCATACTACAAACTGTCAGTCCCTTTATGATCCTGTGGGATAATGAAGTCAGATCATGTTAGGGGAGTATTTCTTAAAATATATACCTGCACAAAAGTTTGCTATTTTCTGAATGTTCTCAAGACTCACAGCCAATTTAAGAAATCTCACTTTGGGTTCCAGAGTGGAAACATGTCCCTATAGAAAGAGGTAGGCCTCTTTTTGTTATGTCATGCTGTCAGTGGCAAGCCTATACTCGCTGCATGTGCGCATATGGTGTGTTCCTGTCAGCATTTCTCTAGGCTAATCATTGGCCAAGCATTCCTCAAACTGAGTCCGACTCTAAAACTGCTGTATCGTTGCTTGTCACAGCTACATTTCTCATTAACACCAGAAGGTAAACCTATAATTCTGCTGGTGATTATCTGTATTTACTCTACAATTAATTACCCCTATTATCATCATTATTATCAAGTCAGTCCACTAGAGGTGGGTGGCTCCTTTAGCTTTAGTGCTATAGCCTAAAAAAACATCCATCTCCCTCCTACCACAAGTCTTTTCCCCTGAGCCCCAGAGGAAACACAGGAAAGTGGTATGGTTTACATGACAAGAGGAGGAAAGCAGACCAAAGGGATACCCTCGCTGGGTGCCTCATACTATCATATGTCTCCAGACTTAATGGGTCTCACTGCTATCAGCACCATCACAGCTAAGCTTCCTGTCCGAGGGAGGCACACACAAACACAGCAGACATTTGGCAGGCCTCAGGTCACAGTCGGCTCCAAGTAAGAAGTGACAGAAGGAAACTTTAAACAATTTCTAGAGTTTGAATGCTTTAGCACAGAGTGACTTTAGTTTTTTTTAGGAAGCTGTGTGTCTTTTTGACACCCTACCCACCCCATAACTCGGTGGGCCATCAACAGTCATAAGGGTTAACAGATGCCATTAACCAGAGCCCAGAGGAAATCAGATGCAACTTAATCCACATCCTACTTAAAAGCACTGAACAATAGAGGTCCCACAACCACATCTGTCCTCACACCTGCTACCATATGTAGTAAGTTACATCACTAGAAAAGTAAATGTTCATGTTCTCTTTAATCCACTCACAAAAGGTTAACACTGTGCTACATTATCAGTTTGGATTCTCATATGCCTTCTCCATTCCCTTTTTCACATGCTTGTGAAGAAACATGTCCTGATTTAAAACCGTTATGAGCAAAAAGTGAAGTGAAAGCAAAGCCACCGTGCTCACAGCACAGAGGATTTCCTTCACAGCCCAGTCTGATAAAAAGATCGAGAGGAGCTACATGAGAACATATAGGATATTTAGGGATGGATAAACAAAGATTGCAAACATCTTTACAAATAAAGGTTGTACATGTTTATATGGCACTTAGCAGGTTTTTCAGCCTGATATAGGAATATTATACACACACACACACACACACACACACACTACTGCATACTTAGTTTCATCTCATGACCAGTGTTCCTTTTTGGCCATGCGGTTTGTTTGTGCCATGATTTTCCAAGTTGTAGCAATTTTCTGACCAGTGCACCAACATTTGAAGTCACATTGCGACTTTGAAATCACACATATCAGGGCCTATTGAAAGGTTCAAGACAATGACACGGTCAGTGAGTCTGGCCAGGGTTGCACGTTCCCACTTGTCTCTGCCCTCATTTTCTGTTAACTCTACTCTCCACTATCATAACAAAAGGGAAAATTATTTTGAAACATATCTGAATTTCCTCATTATAACTGATAAGAAATCAGTGTGGATGAGCATGTTTAACACTGAAACTACACATTCCACATCCCCATGCTTTGGTACACTACAACATCTTCTAACCAGCCCCTCTGCTGGCTTATCAACGGGTTCAGATGTGAACCAGGATCCCCCACATCCCTCAGAAGCTGACCTCAGCTCTACACAGCACAGTGAGCATCCATAATTTCTCCTAGCTATTAAAAACAAGTGCATGGCACATTCACTGTGGTGATGGATAGAGGACTTTGTGCACTTGTAAAACTTGAAAACCCAATAGAAGGCTTTGGACTAGAGCTGAAACAATTAGAAAATGAAGTGATCAGTCAGTGAAATTAACTTTTCTGATAATTAACTGAGTAATTTCTCAAGTACAAACACCAAACACTGATTAGCTACAGGTTCTAAAATTTGCTTCTTTTCTGTTTTCACTGTAAATTGAATATCTGAGCTTCAAGCTCTCTGTGGAACAAAACAGGTAGTTTGACTTTGTATGACTGGTATTTCTCACATTCTATAGACAAAGCAATTAATCAACTAATCAAGATTACATTCATGGTGATTCATTAAAGTCTGTTATGTAACAATTGTTCTTTCAGATTCAACTACAATTCAGTTACAATGTTTGGGGGACATTTAAAAGTCACAGAAGAAAAGAAGAACTGATGGTGTTTTGAAGAGAGCTTCAGTGTGGAGTAAAACATTGCTGTTGGTGGACTATAGAATAAAAGCACACATTTTACACCATCCTAAGTCTGACCAAACCCACAGAGTGAATGAAGTCCAGTGCACTGTTAAACAAAACACTCAGCTTGACCTGCTGGAGTAGCTTTACTATATATGCATGTGCTGTATTTCATAGGATGCATTAGTGTATTTGATTTAATGAGGCACAATAGACTTCCATGTGCATACTTCCTCCACACCTGTCCAGAGTCACAGCAGGAACTATGACCACATCCCTTCTCATTTATTGCAGCTCTATGGGCTAGTCAGACCTTAAACAACAGAGGAAATGATAGACACTAGATATAGAATCAGCATCCGCATGCTGAGGAAATAACACTGATAGAATACAGTGATGTTGGAAGTTCCCCATACTGTATAGCTCCTCTTCGGAGTTTCACTTCATGCAAATGATTATCTTAAAAGAGATGGATGTTGTTATTATTATCAAAATTTCCTGTGATAATCATTATAAGGCCTTGTAGAAATGTTCGCTGCTTATTGTCCTCTAGGCTGCTTTTGTTTCTAGGAAAGTGAACTAACCTGAAGCATTAACATGCAAAACATGTGGCTGCCTGCTCCGCTGTGGATTACCCTCCAATTGTCAAGACACGGCTCCTTTCCCATATTTCTGGGGCGGCAGCAAGAGTTCACATTCGCTCCTAAACTAAACCGGACACCAAAAACAACCACAGCTCCCATAAGGGGATTGTTACCTGTTGAGTTTCAGTGCAAAAGCCCGTCGCTCTGCGCTTCCCAGAGAAGCCATAAGCGAGTCTGAAGTCCACTTCAGCGGAACTCCGCCTTTGGCGTTTTTCTACGGACTCGCCGCCTGCCACCGAAAGACCGCTTCTACCTGTCAACACAGTTCAACTGTCATGTCAACGCTTATCCTTGCTTGCGGGTGCCAAAAGCTTCACTGGGTGTAAACTTCCGCATTTGATTTGAGCCATCCCCTAAAGGAGAGGGAGGTAGACACCGGCAGAGCGAGGGTGGGACCGGCTGGATGGGGCACGTGCGCTCCCTCGCTGTCGAGATGGACAAGCGGACAGAAATGTGCTCCCTAGTATGAGTGTGACAGCGGAATTAGAGAAACCAGAGCAGTTTCTGATGAGTAAAAATTAAATAGCACTCATACTGGACTGTGAACTCTAGAATATAAGACAACGGGCCCCTTGGCTGAGCATTAGAGGACAAGACATCCCTATATCAAATCTGTTAGTTATTTTTTCATTTACATTAACATAAAAGATAGACCTTAACAGTTTTTCTTCCCCACAGTTTGGACTGGTTTTAAATCCCTTGTTAAGCTATCAGTGTTCCTCCTTTTGTTCCTATCAGTGTTCTCTTGTCATCCCTTCGTTCACTCAATAAAAACCAGACAGTCCATACATTTACCACCTGCATGCACTGTAAACCGTAGCACTCCGACGGTGCTGCGGTCATAAACTGGTTACTTTCGCCCTCTTCTGATGGATGCTTAATCACACAAAGTTTAGTGTGTTCGGAGAAACTCCAGCTGGGACGGGGAGAATCACAATGTTTGTGTATTTATCGTCACAAAAAATCTTGTATTCGTGTATTATTTCTTCGTCGATTAATTCTAAGGTTGTTGTTTTTTTTTATAACTTTCTTTTTGTCCCGACGAACTGTGAACGAACAGCGGAACCATTGTCGCCCCTCCAGGATTTGAACGGAGTTTCTACAGTGTAGCACGCTGTCAAAACGTAAAGCAACGGAAGTGTAGAGGAGAGCAATTGTATGGAAACCTAGAAATCAAACATCTATCGCGTGATTTGTTTACTTGCATTGTAAGTAAAAGGCAGTCGGTTTGTTTTGTTGTCGTGGCGTATTAGTGTATATATTAGGAGGGGATAACGTCTGTGCTGGCTTGTGCTTTTTCTTTTTTTTACTAACTTACTGAGTGCTAACAGTAAAGGTGTGGGGTCTATATGTATGTTATTTTCTTCTATATCTATTTTGTGTTGTTATGACTTCTACGGAGGACTTCAGTCCAAAATAATGTTACCAAAAATCCTGTCTTATTTGCAGAACATTATTGCGACTGACATATTTTATGATGTGAATCTATTTGTCACTACAGTGATTAATGGAGCCTGTTTAGGGGGAAAACATGTGTTTTCCTAAATAATACGCATTCATGTTTCTGTATATGGTTGTTTGCCGAAGAATTGTCATTGCCTAACATTAGATGCAGTTCTTCCCAAGTGGTGTTTTATACTGTTTATGAAACGTGCCATTATACTCAAGTATCTGATCTGATCCATCTGGTGTCCTTGCAGATAAAGATTATTTTTGGTATGGATGACACAGTGATAGAGGAGGAGGATGATTGCCCAGAGTTGGTGCCCATTGACACCCAGCCTGGTCCTCCTGCAGAGCAGATTCCTGTCACCATCATCACAGGCTACCTTGGTGAGAGACTATCGACATTACACACATCTTTAATAATCTCATAAATGGAAACACACATACATTATAGATACCAGCTTTCATCAAACTCGATTTGACAGTTCTAGGTGAAAGGTTATCCAATCAGAATTGTTGAAAAACACAGAATTTTTGACATTTTTGCAGATTTATTAAAAAAGGAAAAACATGAAATATCACATGGTCATAAGTATTCAGACCCTTTGCTGTGACACTCATATATTTAACTTAGGTGCTGTCCATTTCTTCTGATCATCCCTGAGATGGTTCTACACCTTCATTTGAGTCCAGCTGTGTTTGATTATACTGATTGGACGTGATTAGGAAAGCCACACACCTGTCTAAGACCCTACAGCTCACAGTGCATGTCAAAGCAAATGAGAATCATGAGGTCAAACGAACTGCCTGAAGAGCTCAGAGACAGAATTGTGGCAAGGCACAGATCTGGCCAAGGTTACAAAAAATTTCTGCTGCACTTAAGGTTCCTAAAAGCACAGTGGCGTCCATAATCCTTAAATGGAAGACGTTTGGGACGACCAGAACCCTTCCTAGAACTGG